TATAAATAGTCTTCTGTGAGCATCCTTGTATGTGAGTATTTGCTTAAGTGTTCATGCAAGTGTTACTCTACCTAGGTGACCAAAGAGGAAAAATGCTAGGCTAAAAGAAATGTGCACTTTTATATTTAAAAGCTATTACAAAATTGTCCTCTGAAAAGCCTGTGCCAGTTTATTTTCCCACCCACAGAGTATCTTATTTCCCGTATCATCCCTACACTTGGTATGACCATTTGTTTGTTTTCAGTCTCCTGAGAAGAAAATGTCATCTCATTGTTTTGTTGTTCAGATTAATGAGAGTTTGAGTATCTTTCTATAAATTTATTAGCCAGGAAGCAGCCATCCTGTAACTCTGTGAAGGAAGCATGTAACTATACTCACAAAGGCTCAGAAGATAGAGTTAGAGGGGACAGATGAGAGTGAGTAGAAGGAGGATAGGTTTTGAAGGAAGACTGTAAGTCAAGATGAAATGCAAGGGTGATCTAATATTGAAAACTTTTACATGTACTAACTCATACACCAAAGGACAGGAAATGTGGACTAGTTGTTGATAATTTAAGGGATGCTAGGTGCCAAAGATTCAAACCTTTTTTATCTCTGGGATGGGTAAGGGTAGAGGACTTCCTTTTTAAAGAAGAGAAGGTAACAACTAGAAAAGTGATGGAAGGTGGGCAAGGAGTTTTCAGAATGTTACAATTTATTCCATTTAAATCTTTACTAATTTAAACTGAATTGCAAGGGTATAAGAGGCCAGCAATGCTTATCTTCTATAATATCCCTGATGATTTTCATTTCACTGCTCCTTAATACAACCTGGGAGAGAGAGAACACTTTATGCAATATCTGGAGGCTGCCCTGCTGGGGAGGAGCTTGTTACAAGAAGATCTGTCCATTTCTGTGTAACATCTACTCATTATGGGAAAAAGTACCCCAAAAAACCCAAGGTTTATTGAGCACATATTATGTCCTGCTTGTATGTACCACTTCATCCAATCTCTCTCTAGCAGATATGCATATTTCTATTTTCTGTAACTTCCCCAAGAACACAGCGCTCAGATGCCAGACAGGAAGTCTAGCTCTGATTCCATGCTCTTAGGTACTATTTTGCCTCTCTTTCTAGCCTGAAATGAAAGACCATGTGCTTTGCATGTACCATCCTCTCTTCCCAGTGGTTTTTGTAATGAAACATTCATAATAACAATTGTGCTTACCGTCTACTGAGGACTTAGCCATATGTTAGGAGCTGTACTAAGGATTTTTAATGTGTATTTTCTTATTTAAATTTCACAATGATCAGGTACAGATATTACCCTTATTTTACAGATAAAGAAATGAAAGGTCTTTTGCATGTAGTTGTCAGTTTTCCCAACACCATTTATAAAAGAAACTGTCTTTTTTCTGTTGTATATTCTTGTCTCCTTGGTCATATATTAATTGGTCATATAGGTGTGGGTTTATTTCTGAGCTCTCTATTCTATTCCATTGATTTATGTGTTTGTTCTTGCAGCAGTTCCATACTGTTTTGATGACTATAGCTTTGTAGTATAGTTTGAAATCATGGAGTGTAATACCCCCAGCTTTGTTCTTCTTCAAGATTGCTTTGGATATTTGGGGTTTTTGTGGTTCCATACAAATTTTAGGATTGTTTGCTCTAGTTTTGTGGAAAGTAACATTGGTGTTTTCATAAGGATTGCACTGAATCTGTTGAGTGCTTTGGGCAAGGTGGCCATTTTAACAATATTAGTTCTTCCTGTTTGTGAGCAAGGAATATCTTTCCATTTATTTGTGTTTTCTTCAGTTTCTTTGATCAATATCTTGTAGTTTTCAGAGTATCGGTCTTTTACCTCTTTGGTTCAGTTTATTTCTAGCATTTTATTTTTTTAAATAAAATAAATGGAAAGATATGCAGCTGTAAATGGGATAGATATCTCAATTTCTCTTTCTGTTAGTTCACTATTTTTATATAGAAATGCAACAGACTTCAGTGTATTCATTTTGAATCCTGCAACTTTACTGAATTCATTTATTGACTCTAATGTTTTTTGGTGGAGTCTTCAGGGTTTTCTAAAAAGAAAGAAAGACATGGAAGATTGGAAAGTTTATTGGAGAAGCTGACAACTACTGAGATTTTTCTTTGTTTTAACACTTTGCATTTTACATGCATTGCCTCATTTGATTTCTCACAAAATCCAATGAGATAGATACCATTATCACTTCCACTTTAGAGTCCATGAAGGTTATTTAACTCGTCTGGTAAATGATGGACCTGTATTTAACCCATGTCTTTTCTACTCTGATGTGACTCTAATACCATGCTATGTTGCTTCTCCCTGACCTCCCCTCTGGAGCCACTTACAGAAGAAGACTCCTTCTTCATTCACATGGAAATGCCTTCAGTCCATTTCAGAGGGCCTGCATGCCTCTGTGGGGTTTTGTTCCCTAGCTAAATATCCCCAGTTACCTCTTCATTTCTTCATATAAACTTTTGGATGGCAAGGCTTCCCTAGTTGAGGGCTGGTTTAAACCACCCAAGAGGATCCTGCCAAAATTGTTCTCTAAAATTAACATTACTTAGAGTGGCAATTCTTCACCTCCACTCCATGGCTGCCTAGAATGTTGTTTAGAGATGTGGAATGACTTACCTAAGATTATGTAGCTTGGCAGAGGGAGTACTGGGACTCAGGTTTCAGGGATTTTAAACTGTGTCCATGGACTCTTAGGTGGGGTTCTCTGTAAATGGGTTTACAGAGATAGGGGTGGGCATAAACCCCCCAAATTATATATATGATTGCATGTGTATATGTGCATACACATTTTTCTGGGGGAAAAGTCTAGGACTTTCGTTAGGTTCTCCAAGAATTCTTCAAAGCCCCAAAGGGTTAGGAACCACAATCCAAACACAAACAAACAACAATAACAATAATAGCATCATAGGTTTCTCCTCCAGCTGAAGGAAGTCTGTTAAGGGAATACAAACACCTAT